ATATGGGGCCCTGGGCAGTGGGCAGGGACAGCAGGGCCTGCTGGTGCCCGTAGGGCTGGCAATCACAGCCACAATTAAGGGCAGCCTCACCTGTTCACCCAGGCTACAGCTGGAACAGGTGTGAGCTGACCAGAAAGGGGAGATTTCTATGTGGAAAAGACATATGGAAACTATGAAGGATGAAGATGAGACAGATAAACATGAGGAAGATAGCTGAGTCAGAATAACAAAAATGGGCAAGTGGGAGAGTAAGCTGGAGACGGAACTGGGTCCATGACACAACTGCTGAACAGGCAGGACAGGTTTGGCTCAGCCAGTTCATGTTTCTTTGCAAAAAAAATTGAAAGAAGTAAAAATTGCTGAACCTGGAGATGTTTTGACTCCCCAGAATTGCCTGTAGAAGTCATGCTTCAAGTGCCACTGCATAAATGTGATGATATCCTAGTACATCCATCAGGCACTCATTATGTGAGTGGTGGAGTTCTACACAGTGAATCCAAATTCACCATCCTGGCAGCAATCAGGAGGTCTCAGGAGGATATCACATGAAAAGTTTCTGGCTGTTTCAGTGCCCCCTTTCAAATGCCTGGTGTTGGTGTAGCAGGATAGGAGACAATCAGTTTATGTGCTCCTGGATTCCCTCAAAACCATTTGCTCATCCTGAGTACAATAAGCCCACCTTAGGATTCAAACAAGGCTTTTGTCTGTGCTGCAAATAGACTTCAGCACTGCATACATTTTCCAGATTCATAATATCAATTTAAAAATGCCATTCTGCCAATGTCATACTAAGAATTTGATTATTAATAGCTGAGGTGTGGCCACCACAGTAATAGCTGGATATGTGATTCTGAAAATGAATGGTCAATGGAAGGAAACAAAACCACAACAAAATTCTGAGCTTTATGATCCAAAGTCATTAACAGCAATGAACTCAATGAAAAAAACAAGTGAATATTAGAATCAAATATGTAATAGGTTCCTCAGAAACTGCTAGACAATAAAAAGACAGCTGTAACTGTGCCTTTTTTGAGCACTCAAAATGTAGTCAACATTAACTTTAAGTTGGTTTATTTTTCTTTTATTGCTATGTCTGTGTGGGGCTGTAATTCACAAAGATTCAGAAGTATTTTGAAGTGATGAAATTCAGTTTCACCTGAAATACTGCCACTTTTGGCAGAAAAAGACCCTCCCAAATAGGTTTTCCACAACAGAGAAATTCTGTAATTAAATTAAAAGGAAGTCAAGAATAACTTTTGCCAGTTGAAAACATGTAAGTCTTTTAGTTGGGGTAAATGCAATGACCAGAACTGGAATTTTGGAGGCAAACAAAGATTAAACACTGTGCTGCTACCAAATATTCCTTGGATTCTTTTGAAGCCACAAGGGACAGATTGTCAGTTTTCCATCTCCTCTCTTTTACTGGGTCATGTCTACAAGGGGACTTGTTGCTTCCATGACAGGAAGGACTCAAAAGCCTAACCACTTTTTTCAGCTGTAAATGAAAGCAGTTTGGTTCTCAGTTATTTGCCAGTATTTCTTCCTTTGGCACCTATGTTTTTCTGGATGTCTCTTCTCCATCATTGTCAGTGATCCACTCTGGGATTATACCTCACACTTTCAGACTTATCATCAGTTTCCTGCCATTTATTCACTGTGTTTGAAATACAAGGGTTTTTCATTTTGAATCAACCCTCCAGATCTCATAAACAGTTAGACTGATTTACTAGGGTAGGAAGATTACTTTTGACTTAATTAATTGAAATTGGAAAAATATTTCCTGATTTTGGACGATACGTATGGACTAAAACCTCTCTCTTATATTTCACTAAGTTTTTAAGTTTATCTTAGGTCAGAATACTAAAATTTCTAAGAAAATTATTACAGGAACAAAATAATAGATATTTTGTAACTTAAAATATAAACATGCAAAAATTTGCATAATAAGAAAATGATCCAGTTATATGGATTGTGTAGAAAAGGAAAACTGGCAAGAAGGAGGAATTATCCACCAATTGATATGGTCAAATGTGCTCTTCCATTAAGATATACTGTGAAGTAAGATACTCTCTTCTTTCTTACATTGCTTGATTGACAAATGATGATTTTAATAGCATCTCACACTCACTTTTCCTAGGATTTTTCATCTGTAGTGTTCAAAGTAGCTCACCAGTCACAGTGATTCATAGATGAATGATTATGTTTATTGTCTATGGAGCTGGGTTATACCCAAATTGTTCACGTAATTCTCAATTAGTTTTTGATGCCACTTAAAGGTTTTACTCCTTCTTGATAAAATCAATGAGCAGGAAAAGTATCAAGGCAAAAACTGGGAATTCAAGTATAATTAACAGAAAGAGTGCAACAATATCAGTCTTTTCACAGACATATTGGGCATGTTAATGTCCAACAGAGGTTCCTATATCTTCTGCTGGTACTGGCTCTTGATTACTCCTCCCACCATTCATTTGAATCATGTAGCAAATTGTTCTGAACTTATTTTTTCATCTGAATGCTACCATTTCTCCTTCCACTTTCACAACTCAACAATTAAAAATTTCACTTAGGGAAAATAGAAAGAGCAAAGTGCTTCATGGATGTTAGAAAAAATCAGGAACCCTAACACTCAGAGTTCCTGATAATTATCACACAATTTTGTAACACTAAACTGAGCAAAATAAGTCAGAATTAAATTTTCAAATAAAAAGAAAAGGAATATTATCCTAGGAAGCTCAATGTATCTGCATGTATATGTAGTGAAGAGCTATGTCAGATTCCTATATTCCAAATGTCCCATTGCGTACAAATGAAGTGAAAAACTTGTATGAAGCATCTGAGAGGCCCACATGTCAGTAAATGTTAAAAAATTTCTCCTACAGTGGCTTTTTCAGAAACAGAAAATCAAAATTGCACATATGCTTGCACACATGTATGCATTCATGACTCTGAATTGGTCACAAAAATAGGATATACCCTCATATATATACAAATGCGTGTATTATGTATAAATTGCATGCATTCATTATATTTTTGGTTGGATGTTTTTATGCATATGATAGCAAAAACATTCCTTCAGGCTGTACCTCTATGCTGTTAGGCACTGTGTCAAAACCAAACAAAGAGCCAGTTTAGTAGGTTTGCTCTATAAGCTGGAGTGTACAGAAGTTTCTCCATTTTCCTCCACAGGTGAATTTTGTAGATCTACTCTCCCTCTGAGTTCTGTGGGTCCTTATTAGTTACAGAATCAAGGACTCACTCTTAAATTATTGCTATTTTACCCTAGGAGATCATGGAAACCTGGCAGTGAGACGCTTGGCTAGCTGTGCCACAGAAAAAAACATACTGCTGTGTTTTAGAAACTCAGTGTCATAATACAGCAACTATATCATAAGGCTTTTTTTTTTCACATCTTTCCAAATTCTACACTGTGTTTAACATTGGCATGACAAATATGTCTGAAAAGTCAAAGTTTAAAAGTCCTTCCCTGGTGCCAATTTACTGTTTGAAGGATGCACAGACCACCTGAGAAGGGATTGAAACACTTAATTCCCTCAATTTTTGCTTCTTTTATTCAGAAAATAAATGTACCTCTAAACAGCTTTAGTTCAGAAACTGTTTTAGCTGCATTCAGCTAAAAACACATTCAAGAATGACATGACCAGGATTTGATCAGGTAGCAAGGTTGTGTCTTCATACATGCAGTCCTCTAGACACAACCCTTGGAATACCAATATGTTTCCATCCTATGTTTCACAGAATAATTATAATGACATTATATATCCTAAAGGAAATTTCAAAGATGGTTCCACAATACTGACTATCATACATAATAACTACTTATATTTCTTTGCCTGTCTCCTTGAGTGTAAAATCTTCTTTTCATTTTTTATTAAGGCAGAACAGGAACTGGACCTGTCTGGGGGAATGTCTGGCTAGAATACATGAATAGTTGTCATTGTCCATGTATTGTCCACTCATTGAACAAGTACTTAACCTGTTTTCTATTTTCATTAATATTTAACTGACCAAAGTACAAGCAAGGTACTTGAAATTGTAAAGTAATTATTTCATCTGTTGGTCTACCTGAGCATATATAAATAACATATTGGAAATTGTCTTTCATGTGTCATTTTTTTTTGCTGACTTTGGACTAGCCTTTGTTACATTCCTCTAAAGCCTCTTTGTTGCAAATATTGGTGGGTATTTTCCTTGTTAAGGCAGCAGTGTACAGAGAAAAGGCTGTTGAGTAGCTGCTGATTTTTTCAGCACGGTCATTTCCTATTTCACAGACACAAAGTAGCCCTGTTTGCAGCAGGGCATTTCTGGTGGACCAAATGATGGCTCTAACAGACTTAGCTTTTGGCAGAAAGAGATTGTTATTCCTAATGCCTGCTCTTCTTTCAAATGCCAATCATACATAGAAATATGAACATATTTCAAACAGAATTTCTATAGGCAGACTCTGCTCTTGGGGGATTTATTTTAAATATCCAAACAAAAATATTTTAAAATGCAAATATCTTACTTTAAAATCTAAATTTCAGAGAGCTTCACAAAGCTGTCAAAGTACATTAATTTTCATTTCAAAATCCAGTGTAATTTTTTCCCCAAAATTAGATTCTTTAACACTTCTTTATGATGAGATATCAACAAAATAATTCAGATTCGGTTTAATCTGAAGGTCTACTTCAATAAAGCATTCAAGTGTTAGTATTCAGCAGAATACTTAAAAGACATTACTACCTGTGAGGTTTAGAGTTACCCAGGTGCTTACATCCCATTATTAAAGAAAAAACTTTTCTTTCTGACCAACATCTTAACATGCCAATCCAGCAGGTGTAAAATAAACTGAATTGCATTGTTTCCTGTTGGAACTGTAAATTGTTTGTGACAGAGGATCTTTTTTTCTATATAAATCTATAAAACATTATTAGTTCTCTAAAAAGAGGGACTTTTATACTTATGAATAATCATATTGCCAATTGTGATAAATATTCTATCAGAACATGTTCAGTAGGCATCAGAACTGGGCATGTATGTGCATAAGGTTTTGATAAATACTCTCTGAAAATGTCCCCAACAGCACTTACCTTCATATATTCTGAACACTGATTATTTTTCTCCGTGGTTCAGACATTTGTGGTTTATGCAACATCTTAGGCTCCCATTAAATTTCGTCCTAATTGAAACTGAAAGAATAAAATTAGCATTAACAATGCTTTTCTTGAAATATTCCTGTTGATATCTGAAAGGGAGTTGACAAACCACATGCAACGAATTTTTTTCTTCAGTTGTTTGATGTACAGTTTTACTGCCATGCTGTTTAATGCACATTTTCTTGGTCTCCTATAATGCCAGAAACTTGGCAACCCAAAACCAAAGGAGACATGCACCACTGGTGCTAGCCACATACATCAACAGACCATTTGTAATATTTAAGTAGAAAAGTTACATACTGGTCTCAGCCTTTTGTTATTCTCTTCCATATCAGGAGCAGTGACTTTTAAATCTACCACTACTACTACTACTATTCATATTATGAGTATTTAACTGTAGGATCACAGATTGAAAGTCCAGCTAATTTCTACTTCAGTAACTGTTACTGTTACAGAGAGACCAGCTGGCAAAACTAGGACTCTACACTGCCTGCAGTAAGAGGCAGGGCTGACCACATTTTCCTAGACTAACTGATGTCAGGAAATCAATTATTTGTTTGCATGCATGAGAAAGACTGAGGTTAGTTTTTTAAATTAGTATACAGCCATGAGGGTTCATATGATCATATTTTCTTAAGGGCTGATATTTATTTTCTCATTATTAGGTAAGATGTTGGACAGCAAAAAGAAGCCAAACAACAAAGGGGAAATTAAAGAAATCTGTGCAGAATATTGAGCCCTGCCCAGGACAAGTTGCTGAAAGCATTTGTTTTCAATCTTATACCAATAGTGTTCTGTTTAACTTTTTGAGTGTTCTCTTCATAGTTCTGTATGTCCCTGCCTTCTGTTCAGAGCTAAAGTTATTTTTGCAATTTGTTTCACTCATCATTATTTTTAATAGATGTTAGTGTGACGTGATTAAATTGTGAGTGCAGAAATAGAATGGATCAGAAAGGAATCAGTGTCATAACTTGAGATTTCCTGATCTTCCAGTCTCTCTGTTAGTCAGGAATTGTAAACAACACGCAATGCATGTTAACACTTCTATTTTCAGATGGTGCTCAATATTTCCAAGTAAATTTAAAATAAGGATCACAATACAATTCTTATTAATTTTTTTCTTTTTTCCCTAGATACTGTCACTCCTTTCATATGTCTATGTCATTATACCATTATACTAAAATGGTTTTCTTGTTTGTAGAAAAATACTCCATCTTTATAGCAAAGTGTATTCATCAAATTGGCTTACTGTAATTTTCTATATCCTAATGAAAAGGAAGAAGAAATGGAAACACGAAGTCTTTTGTAACTTTAAATGAACCTATGCTCTATTGCAGATATTGTCACCAGTACTTAATGATAGACAGATCAGAGGTTCAGTATTAAAGCAGAAAAGTTCAAAAGAATTTTGGAGAATAGTTAATAATTTTCAAAATATTTTGTTCCTAGAAAAGGGTAGCCCTTGAGAAAAATCTGAAAAAAAAATCAACTTAAGCTATAACATAGGGATTATTTGCAAATTTAGGGGGAAAATACCTTCTGCATTTTTAAAAGAAAAGCAAAAAAAATCTACATATTTTAGCTAGTCTTTTTTACAGCTTTAACTAAGCAATAATGATAAAAAAGTACACCTCTATAATTATGGCTATGTAATGCCTTTATATTTAAAAAGAAAACATACAGCAAGTCTGTCCCAAGAAACAAGGCAAACAGGTTTTTCTCCTGTTTCCTCTCTGCCTATCCCTAGCCTTATTTTTATGTTGACTTTTCTTCAGTTATGTTGACTTTTCTTCAGTTACTAGCTAAATCAGACTGTAAAGCTTTAGAAGTCATAACTTCAGCTCACTTCTGAAGTTTGCAGAATGATTTGTAATCCTGCAACAACAGTAAATCATGGGGATAATTTCTGTTTTCTAAAATGCTGTGTGGAAATTTGATGGAAAGAATCCTTTCTGACATTTCTGAAGTTCTGAGTTTTAACCAGTGACAGTTATTATCTATTTTATTTTTTTCGATCACTGTTATAAAAAAACCCAACCAACCAACCAACCAACCAACCAACCAAAAAACCAAACAACAACAAAAACCCAAACAAACAAACAACCCCCCCCCAAAAAAACAAACCAAGCCAAAACCACAAAAACCCCACAAAACAAAAAGCCAAAACAAAAGAAACCCCCCCCCCCCAATAGATGAATTAAAATGTTGCAGTAATCAAGATGTCAGGGCTTTTTATGAACTCTGCTTGAGTTTTGCATTGTTTCAGCTCTCTAAATTTTTCTTACCACTTTATGTGTAATTACTGGTACAAAGGAACCACAGTACTTTTTATATACAAATAGTGGATACATCTGAAAAAAAAATCAATATGTTGGCTTTTCTACACCTTTTTGTGTATGTTCTATTTTTGGACAATATCTATTTTTACTCCCTTGGCTTGACTTTTAGCAAAATTGAAGTGTACTGTCAAATCAGGTTTTATTTGAGTATGGCAAATTTTCACCTAAATTCATAACATTCCAACTTTACCCCCAAACCACTTCTGACTCAGTTCAGATTCTCAGAAGTTTACAAAATATAGCTATGCCAGACCTATACCAGAGAAGAACCTGTTCAATTTTTTTCAAATTAAGAAATAACCTTGACTTTGGGCTTTCCTGTTACAAAATTCTGCCTTACAGCTTTCTAATGTCAGAGTCCAGCTCTAAACTGGAACCACACTGAAATCAAATTTGCAGGTCTTTGTGACTGAAGATATTAACTTTCGGGTTTATGATCTGCCTCAAAATGACAAAAACATAGTCAAGAAGAGAAGGATGTGTTAAGCATAGGCTCCATCTTCTGCCAAAATGTTCTTATTTCTACATTATATTTTCCAGAGCTTTATGAGTGTTCTTTTTAAATTACTCAGACTGCTTCCTGTTTTCTCCTTGGGAAGCTGTCCCACAGTCTAATATATTGCTGCAATTAAGTGATGTTTTCCTTATAAGCAGTCTAAATCTGTTTGCTTTATTTCATCAAGTAACAGTGATTACTTGCCCTCTGAATATACACATGATTTTTTCAGCTACAAGGCTAATTATGAATGTTACCATTCCTCCTGGCTGGTTACCTCATTGTATGTCTACATGCCAAGAATACCACATACTACAAGTAGTGAATAGAACAATAGCTAATAATCCCTACCTATAAAGGTGTGGAGTATGTTCACACATTATTCTCATACAAAGCCTCAGCTTTAAGCTTTTCCTAATGAAAGACAAGGGATTTAGTTCTGCACCTCAGTAATTTAGGCAACAGAAGAGACCGTACCAAGGAAACACAACCAAAACGAAACAATAAGAACCAATCTACCATGTGTTGGAGTGAGGAACTAGGTATGACCTACTACTTGTACAGCATCCCACGGGACTGTGTAGAGTGCAACTGCTAATCACACTTAATTCTCTGTGGCCTACACCAGCCCTTGAATTAAGGACACAGGCTATTTCTGGAACAGGGCTTTTTTATCAGACTGCTGTTTATATGGATGGAGTCCAGGTGAGCTCCAGAAGACACAATTGAACAAATAAATACAAGAGCAATGCTGAAGCAGTTATGACTCATTCTATCATTTCTTTTAATACTTTTTCTCTGGTTTCAACGAATTTGAAGTATCCCTTAATGATAAGCAAAAAAAATTATATCAGACCAGGAAGCAACCATACTAAGTGTGATAAATTTCAGTTCAGTATGCAGACAATTCTTTCACATATATGAGAGTTCATCTAAGGCAGAGCTAAGCATAAATGGAAGGCCCCTGGGAAAGAGCATGCTAAAAGGCCTTGTACTTGTACTGACTGCGTCCCAAAGCTTTGCTGCTCCCACAGTCAGCAGCAGCATGTGGGAACAGAGATGCTGAATTTCCTGTACTATGTCACAGATTTAGAAGGCATAGTCTGAGAATTGTGCCATATTGAAGCTATTGGTTGACGGAGGACATATAAATTCCTGGCTATTTCACCTTAATGAAGGCAGTAACTACAAAGTTTCTGAGATACCTGTGTTCAAATATCTCGTGGACTCTGGCATCAAACACAGCATGTGCCCGTGCAAAGGAAGGCACACAAGTACTGCCCATGACCCATGAGAAATCCATGAAGCTATCTTGGCTGTAAGTTCACTTATAAAGATGGAAATTAGCTCATTAAGATACTGGGCCAGAATTCCAAAAACTGGCAAATTCTATGTCACATAGAAAGGTAGAAGAGTGAAAAAGTGAAGGAATGAGAAAAAAAACAGAGAAGGGTAAATATTTCTGATGGCATAACAACAAAATATTTAGTTGCAGGCCTGAGCCATTGACTGGCCTGAACTTTAAACAAGTATCTCTGCCAGCTGAATACTGGCCAAATGGCAAGTGGCAACCTCTCCACAGCCTGATACACATGCAAATGAAAAGGTTTTGGGTGCCAGACACCAGGAAGCCAGTGCTTTTAACACTACCACCCTGTAATTTATAGCATCTTGGTTTGTGCTACTGCAGTTAAGGGTCTGTTAATGTTTGTCTTCTGAATTCTAATTCTCAAGGGCTTATAATTTGGCCATTAACATGCTCTCAGTATCAAAACTTCGGCTCACATAATGGCTAGCCAAGAGCAGTTTTTAGGTAATTTTTTTAGGAAGAATGTTAGTTGGTTTCCAAAATATGAGAAAGGAAGTAAAGAAGGCAGGAAGGAATGACTAGTTAAAGTAGTTAAAGATTATAATTTTGTGTGCTCAATGACTTGATATGTCTTGCATTTTAAAAGATGAATTATTGCTATGAGGTGGTATTATTTTTCTTGCTTTAAAACTTTTTAAGATGAAGTCTTTTGCAGTAACCTAATATTTCAAGTGATTTTTGAATGTCAATTATTTATAAAAATCTCAGCCACTCAAAATGCCATAGATTCACAAGGATGAAGAAGTACATTGCTGAATCCCACCACTATAATTTTAAAGATGCAATTAGTAAGAACAAGAAAGGAAAACACATACTTAGGAGTGCTTTT